ACAGCAACTATGCTTTTAACAGCGTCTTTCTCTTCTTTATCTCCTCAAACAACATCTCACTATAATACAACAGACACCAACATACCCATTCATTTTTCTTACAATCTCTCTGTGATGGAGTTGGGTTTTTGTTTGTGGCATTGCACCTACAGCCACTGCTTTATCTCCTACCCCAGGATGGAAGGAAAATCACAGAACCACCAGTTTTAGATGCTATTTACAAATGATAGAATCCCATACGAGCTGAGACGCCCCCTCGGTAATCAAGGACTCCCCCAGGTCTTAGTGGGCAACCAAGCTGGCCTGGTGGATGGTTATTGGAAGAAAAAAAAATCAGAAAGCAAAGAAATGGAAAAACAAGAAGAAAACAGCCCCTACAACTGGTAACGGGAAAGAAAAGCTTATAGACTTCAATATTCTTCAGGCAAATGTCTGTGGCTTGGACAAGAAGAAAACACAACTGGGGAACATTTTATATGAAAGGAAAGTCCACATTGCTCTATTACAGGAAACTCTTCATTCATCCTGTGACATAAACATCACTGGGTATACCCCTTACCCATGTGAATGTGAAGGTTGCCAAGGGATTATAACCTATATCAGAAATAGCATCCAGGGTGAAGTAGAGCTCCTTAATTGGCACCCCACAGACGCACATAAAGTCACCCTGTGGTATGGCAACAGCAAGCTCATACTCTATAACAACTATTGTCCCCCAAGTAACACTCTGAACTTCATGGAACAGAGTACTATCTTTAAGAAGACTGTCATAGCTGGTGACCTTAATGGACACTCCCCCCTTTGGGGCTATGCTGACCAAAACAACACAGGTAAGAGGATTGAAGAACTATGTCTGTCCTCTAACCTCGACCTTCTTCAAGATGAGGATTCAACCAAAGCACTTCTTCATAGGAGACATGGGACCCTCCACAGACCAGATCTCACCCTGGTCTCTGCTGATTTACACAACAATTGCAGTGAAGAGGTACTAGACTGTATATCTAGTGACCATAGTCCCGTTCTCACCAAAATCAGTATACTGAAACATATACAAAGGAAAAGAAGAACCCGTTGGAACTTCAAGAAGGCAAACTGGGATCTCTTCAGAAAAACAGCTGAGGACACCGTTAAACTGGATGATCTAGACAATAAAAGTATAGACGCCCTTAATAGTGAACTCATCTCCACCATCTTAGATGCCTCAAAGAAGAGTATCCCACAGGGGTGCAGAACCAACTATAAACCCTCTTGGAACGAGCGCTTGGAGAAAACTACAAAAACAAAAAATGATGCCAGACATGAATATGAGAAAGATCTAAAAAAAATGGACAAGAAAATTAGATACAAAAAGGCCGTAGCAGATGCTAAACTTGTCACCAAGGAATCTAAGAAGTATATGAAAGGTCTAAAAGGCTAGAAAATAACCACCCTAATAGAATCCTTGTTGACAAGTGGAAACCTAGTCAAAGACTAAAAAATACAAAATCTGTACTTGACACTGTTCTCAATCTCCAAGAAAAATATCACCTCCCTGAAAGACGAGAACCTCTGGAAAGAGTTCCCTCAACTCTCCCACCACATCTCACCATAGCAAAGCCAGAAATTAGGAAAGCACTTTTGAACAAGAGCAATAAAAACACATATCCTGTAGCACTAAAACAGTCTGCCCTTGAAACAATTGATTCCTGTCCACCAACATGGATCCACTCATACACTGATGGATCTGCCTTCAAGGCAACAATCAACGCTGGATATGGGTCAATGATCAACTTGCCCAGTGGGATAAAAAAAAAAGAAGTCTTTAATTCCAGCGGGTCCTTCTGCTCCAATTTCATTGCCGAACAGCAGGCTATCACCAACACAGCAAACTACACCAACTACTTGTTTGACACTAACCCACTTGCTACCACAGACATCGTTATCTTTACAGACAGCCTTTCAACACTAGAGACACTTGAGAGTGGGACTGATGTGAACAAAGACATATTGCACTTGATTTGGAGTCTACATAACTTGATAAGTAGGCACCACGTCAGAGTAGTCCTACAATGGATTCCTGCCCACACTGGGATACAGGGAAATGAAAGAGCTGATGCTCTGGCAAAGAAAGGAGCTAGCCTCCCTCAGCCTGAAATTCCTACGAATTACACCACCGGCTGCCAAATGATCAAGTCAAACCTCAAGGAAGAGTGGATGAATGCTTGGGCCACAGGTACGACAGGAAGGAGGATGTATGGCCACTTGAATAAACCACTGGCCAAAGATCCAATCAATGAGTTGAGGAGGGGAGATCAATCCATAATCTTCCAACTTAGAACACAACATGTACCCCTCAACCAACATCTCAATCGAATTGGAGTAAAGCAGTTCCCTCAGAGACAGTGGAACATCATCTGTTCTTCTGTAGAAAACTAACTGATTTAAGGGGATGTTTTCTTCCCAAGCTACCCCACACATCTAATTGCCTCTACTCCTCAAGACAATAATTAGAACAAACATGCAACTATTACCGAATGGCATCATGTAGAAGAGTTAACGCTCAGATGCTACTGGATCGCTAACAACAACAACAGCTCTAGGAATCCAAAACTAGAAGGGTAGCTCTCTGAATTAAAAATGAAAAGGATAGCTCTGGGAAACAAAAATGAAAAGGAAAGCTCTAGGAAACCAAAATGAGAAGGGTAGCTCTCTAAAAAAATGAAAACAATAGGTCTAGGAAACTAAAATGAAAATGATAGCTCTTTGAAACCAAAATGAAATAGGTAGCTCTGGGAAACCAAAATGAATAGGATTGATCTAGGAATCCAAAATGAGAAGGGTAACTCTCTGAAATAAAAATGAAAAGGATGATTTACGAAATCGAAATATAAAGGCTAGCTCTGTGAAACAAAAATGAAAGGGATAGGGTTGGGATAATAAAATGAAACGGATAGCTCTCTAAAACCAAAATGAAAAAGATAGTTCTGGGAAACTAAAATGAAAAGGATAAGGATTGCTCTATCTTTAACTCAGACCAATCTATCTATCTATCTATTTATCTATCTATCTATCTATCTATCTATCTATCTATCTATCTATCTATCTATCTATCTATCTATCTGTCTGTCTGTCTGTCTGTCTACCGCTAACCTGTCTGTCTGTCTGTCTACCTATCTCTCTGTCTGTGTGTCTACCGCTAACTATCTATCTGTCTGTCTGTTTGTCTGTCTGTCTGTCTGTCCGTCCGTCTGTCTGTCTGTCTGTCTATCTATCTATCTATCTATCTATCT